GTCGGGGGAGCGCCCGGAGGGGTGGCAGGTGCTGGGTAGGGGGGGTCTTGGGGCGTCCCTCGCATGCTTAGGGGTGTCCCTCGCACACCCAAGGGAGTTCACTCGTGCAGGGGTAGTCGTACCACTCGCCGTCCTGCCTCACCACCGCGCAGTTCTCCTGGTGCCCGCCGTTGGGCTCGTTCCTGTGCCACGAGCTGCGACGAAGCAGGAGGGGGGGATCAGGACAGATTAGGGGTGTCGCCCGGTGTCCCCAAGCCCCCGTCCCCTTGTCCCCAGCGCCCGTCGGGCTGTTACCTGCTTTCCCAGGGTACGATGGTCCCGTTCGCTCGCTTCCAGGTACCCTCGACCTCCTCATCCCTGATGCCGAGCCAGGAGGAGCTTTGCAGCATGGTCCGGACGTGATCCTGGGGGGCAAAGGCAGCATCACCCCATGGCAGAGCCCCCCACGACCCCCTGCCCATCCTTGGGGACAGCAGGTCCTGGTGACAGGTAGGACCTGATGCCATATCAGTTAGAGCCTCGCTGGGGTCTAGATTAGTTTAGGGTTATCTTAAATCCTATATATTTAGGGGCGGGGCTGGGTTAGAGCCTCACTGGGGTCTGGAATAAGTTAGATTTAGCTTAAATCCTATATATTTAGGGTTAGGGCTGGGCTAGGGTCCTGCTGGGGTTTGGGCTAGCTTAGGGTTAGGTCAACTCCGATAATTATATGTAGAATTAGGTTTAGGGATAGGATTAAAGCTACTGGTAATTGGATGAGGGTTGTAGTTAGGGTCAGGATTGGGTTAGGGTCAAGGGTAAGGTCAGAATTACCATTAGGGATAGGTTTAGGGTGAGGGTTATGGTGAGGGTTAGGGTTAGAGCCAGGGTTAGGATGAGGTTTAGGGTTAGGTATAGAGTTAAGGTCAGGATTACGGTGAGAATTAGGATTAGAGCCAGGGTTAGGATTAGGTTTAGGATTAGGCATAGAGTTAGAGTCAGGATTATGGTGAGATTTAGGGTTAGAGCTAGGATTAAAATGAAGTTTAGGATTAGGCATAGAGTGAGGGTCAGGATTATGGTGAGAATTAACATTAGAACCAGGGTTAGGATTAGGGTTAGGGTTAGGGGTGGGATTAGGGTCAGGTTTAGGGTTAGGCATAGAATTAGGGATAGGTTTTGACTGGATTCAGTTCAGTATAAGTCTTACAGCTCTGTTAGGAATAGTGTTAGGTTGAATTATAGAAATATTAGGCACTAGAGCCTAAATTTAGTGTTAAAACGCCAAAATTTGGGTAAAGCTTAGGGTGAGGGCTCAGCAGCACTCGCCCATGGGAAAAACGGGGCGCGAGATGACTCCAAACCTGCCGTAGGGTTCAGGACAGGGTTTATGGGGTTCACATGAGGTTTCCAGCCGCTCCCCATCCCCTGGAAGATCATCCCCTCCCCACAGAGCCCACCTTGGGCACTGCAGAGTGTCCCCCCCACCCCTCGCCGTCCCCCCTCACCTTCTCCTCCGGGCTGTCCACCTCGAGGAGCTGCGTGCCCAGGGTCGAGCAGAAACTCTGGGCGCCCTCCCAGGGACTTGCTGTCTTGGAGTAGAAATAACAGGAGTTCCCGAAATAGATCCAGCCTTTGGAGCAAGGGGGACAACCTGGGGAGAGAGGGGGGGACACAGAAAATGGGGGGGGGTCCCCCCCCAGCTGGGGCTGGAAAAATGGGGGGGGCTCACCCCCCAGCTGGGGCTGGATCCCCCATAAACTGGGGACAGCCCCGGCCGGAGAAACGAGCCCGGCTGCTGCGCATCCCCACTGTGTTAGCGTTACGGCGGGGTTAGGCTTAGAGCCCTGCTGGGGTTTGGGCTAAATCCTATGTATTTAGGGTTAGGACTGGGTTGGGGTCCCACTGGGGTTTAGACCGGGTCAGGATTAGGTTAAATCCCATATATTTAGGGTTAGGATTGGGTTGGGAGTCCCACTGGGGTTTAGTCTGGGTCAGGATTAGATTAACTCCTATATATTTAGGTGTAGGACTGGGTTGGGGTCCCATTACAGTTCAGACTGGGTCAGGATTAACTTAAATCCTATATATTTAGGGTTAGGACTGGGTCAGGATTAGGTTAAACCCTATATATTTAAGGTTAGGACTGGGTGAAGATGAGGTTAAATACAATATATTTAGGGTTAAAACTGAATTAGGGCACCATTGGGGTTTAGACTGGGTGAGGATTAGGTTAACTCCTATGTATTTAGGTGTAGGACTGGGTTGGGGTCCCACTGAGGTTTAGACTGGGTCAGGATTAGGTTAAATCCAATATATTTAGGGTTAGGACTGGGTTAGGATTAGGTTAAATCCAATATATTTAGGGTTAGGACTCAGTTGGGAGTCCCATTGGGGTTTAAACTGGGTCAGGATTAGGGTTAGGACTGAGTTGGGGTCCCACTGGGGTTTAGACTGGGTCAGAACTAGGTTAAATCCTCTGTATTTAGGGTTAGGACTGGGTTGGAGTCCCATGGGGGTTTAAACACGGTCAGGATTAGGTTAAATCCTATATATTTAGGGTTAGGACTGGGTCAAGATGAGGTTAACTCCTATATATTTAGGGTTAAAACTGAGTTAGAGCACCATTAGGGTTTAGACTGGGTCAGAATTAGGTTAAATCCTGTATATGCAGGGTTAGGACTGAATTGGGGTCCCATGGGGGTTTAGACCGGGTCAGGATTAGGTTAAATTCTGTATATTTAGGGTTAGGACTGGGTTGGGGTCCCATTGTGGTTTAGATGGGGTCAGGATTAGGTTAAATCCTATATATTTAGGGTTAGGGCTGCGTCAAAATGAGGTTAAATCCTATATATTTAGGGTTATAGCTGAGTTAGGGCACCACTGGGGTTTAGACTGGATCAGGATTAGGTTAAATCCTATGTATTTAGGGTTAGGACTGGGTTAGGATTATGTTAAATCCTATATATTTAGGGTTAGGACTGGGCTGGGGTCAGGGCCATGCTGAATATGGGGCTGAATTAGGATTAGTTGAAATCCTAGATTATTTTAAATCCTGGATGTTTCGGGCTCTGGCAGAGTTAGAGTTAGGACCCCACTGGGATTAGGGCTTCTTCAGGATTAATTTAAATCCTCGATATTTTGAGTTAGAGCTAGGTTAGGATTACTGGGGTTTGGGCTGGTTTAAATCCCATATATTTAGGGCTACGGAAGTTTTCTGTTTAAGGCCTTGCTGGGATTTGGGCTAGTTTAGGGTTAGGTAAAATCACATAAATTTAGGGTTTGAGCTAGGTTAAAGGTTAAGACCCTGCTGAGGTTTGACCTCACTTAGGGTTAAAATGTATATATTTAGGGTTAAGTTGTATGTGTTTAGGATTAAATTGTATCTACCTAGGGCTAAGTCGTACATATTTAGAGTTAAATCTGCATCAGGGTCAAGACCCCATTAGGGTTTGAACTCAGTTAGGCTTAGGTTAAGCCACATATATTTAGGCTTATGTCCGGGTTAAGGCTGGGTTAAGTCACATATATTTAGGCTTAGGTCCAGGTTAGGGTTAGGTTAAGCCACCTATGTTTAGGCTTAGGTTAAGTCACGTATATTTAGGCTTACATCTGGGTTAAGGCTGGGTTAAGTCACATCTATTTAGGCTTAGGTCTGGGTTAGGGTTGGGTTAAGTCACGTACATTTAGGCTTAGTTTAAGTCACATATATTTAGTCTTACATCTGGGTTAGGGTTGGGTTAAGTCACATCTGTTTAGGGTTAGGTCCAGGTTAGGGCTCTATTGCAGTTAGAGCTGAGCTTAAGCTGCATCCGTGTCAGGTTAGGGCTGAACTTCAGCCAGCGCAGGGTTAGGCTAAGCCCTAAATATTTGGGATAAAGGTGCCGGGACTGACAGGAGCGGGAACAGACATCGTCCTGGCTCCCGTGGATGACCCTTAACATGTTATCTTTCGTTGTCCCCAGCATACAGCTTCGTGCAGCATCTCAGCCCCGTAGCCGGCCTCCGTGTAACCACTGGAACCGCTGCGCCGCGGCGTCGGGCCGGCACGCCGTCGCCGTCAGGTGTTGCCCCTTGGCCTCTACGCACTTGCGGTGGTCTTCGTTGTACAACAGGAAGGACTGGGACGCTGCGGGGAGGTTCCCGGTGAACCGGGGTGGCGGAGGGGACACACACGGTGATCGGGGCCACGTGGGGATTGGGGACACGTCCGTGGGTGTCACCACGGGATGAGGACGGGGCTGGGGGGACACGCACCCGTGTTCAGCATCACCTTCGCCTTCTCGGCCTCCAGCGCCTCCGTCAGGGCTGCAGCTGGGGAGGGAGTGGGGTGGGACGTGGGGACACACGCACAGGTCACCCCGTCGCTGCAAGGTGGGGGTGTCCTGGAGCCATTGCCACGGCGGGGGGGGGAGAGGGGCTGGCATTGAGGGGTTCTGAGCATGGACACCCCCAACACCCCGATAACAGTATCTCTTCCCCTCCCAGCAGTGCCGGGGCTGATGTTGAGGGGTGCTGAGCATGGAGACCCCCCAACAACCCGATAATCTTAACTCTCCCCCCCCCCAGCAGCCCCGCCATCGGTGGAAGGGGGGCCCCCTGAACCCCACGGGACCCCCACGCGC